CTAAATACTTCCCCCCCCCCTCCGCAATTTAAAATTCGATGATAAATTGATTAGTTTTTGTAAAAAGAGACTGTTACAAAGCAACTGAAATAAAAGAACTGATAGGGAGGAATACATAAAAGTTTGCTACACTACACTAAATAAATTATTTACATTAAATAATCAAAATAAAAAATTTGCAAAATATTTATTTGTTTTATATAATTTTTACATTTAAAAATGAGAAGTTTTATGGCATTCAGCTAATTTATGCTTTACAATATTTGCAATGTTCGAAATGCTTAAAAGGTATCCACTTAAATCCTATAGGAAGGAATTCAAACATTTTGATTCTATTTATAATTTTCTATTTATTAAGCCACAGATTATTTAACCAAAGAATGTCACTGACTTATTAATCAAAAAGTTAAATTATTAATTTAACTCAGAAGAACTTAAAAGAGTTATCTACCACATACGCATTAAGTTTCAGATAATTTCTTTTATTAAACATTTTTACCTTATATAAAGCGGTGGGTTGAATAGTTCCTACCTACAGCATTAATTTTCAAATATTGTTACTAAGCTATTTTTTCGCCTATAATTTCTGCGACCATCTTCTAATAATTTCAGGAAATAAAAAAAATACCAATGAAAGGATTTGTTTGCATAAGTGCTGGAAATAGTTAAGGGTAGAGGGGTCACTTTATTTTCTCTAATTCAACGATTAAAACTAGTAAAATTCTAATTAAAATTAGCAAATATCTAAATAATCTACAACTGCAAAATACAACGATAAACCCTAAGTAAAATTTACTTTGCAATTTACTAAAGACCTCAAGGCATTTACTCCAACTTCTGATGAATTTACATTTTTTCAAAGATTTGAAACTCTTTTTTTTTATTTGACCTTTCATTTAAAATGTTAAGAATGTAGTCCTTAATAAATTAAGAACATTGTGGTATCAGTATGGATTGTAATTATAAAGTTATCATTAAATTTAAAATTAAATTTTGAAACCCAACATTTCGTGACCACAAATTTACAAATTGAAATAAAATATTGAATGTTGTGGTAAATATAAACATAATAAAATACATCTTCTTGGTTGCCTCCACATTTTTAACTTCTTAAGAGCCTTACGAACTCTACTTAAAATGAGGCTATCGTATCAGATGTCGGTAGTTATGGTGATAATAGTAAAATAAGTTTTCAAATAAAGGAATAAAACAAAGAAACTTTAGTAACGATATTTGGTTATAAATAAGTAACTGATCGCAATCGAAGAGCTTAGGGAAAAAACATGTTTGCAAAAGACAGTTTCGGAATGTATACATAAGGATGCTATTTGCAAATCACTTATTCAAGAAAACCATGTAACCTAAATATTTGTCAGAAAGAAATAATGCATATATAAACTAGTAACAATATAAAATTACTTAAAAATAATTTAAAATATAATGTGAAAATAAAATAAAATTGTGTGTTTACAGAGCAGCACTTCATCATGGGACACACTGTCTGCAAACACACAGGAGCCTTTCTGTTGTTAGTGGCAAAGCCAAAACTAACAGTGCCCCGAGGCCCCTAATGATAATACAAGCATAAAGAATAATAATAATTACCACATTAAGAATTATTACATCAGAATCACGCCCCAAATTTTTGGCAGGATCTTTTTTTTCTTTTCCTTTTACCTGAAAGACTTGAACTGAGGTGTAAAATCAATTAGGCCTACAGCTCTTCATAAATTTATAATAACTTACGTAAATTTTGTTTTAGTACAACAATTTTATACAAATAACATCTTTAAAAAATAAAAAAAATGTCAGATAATAAGTTCAATGTTCAAATTTTGAAATATTGTAAAATCAAAAATAATTTCATTTTCATTTCTTCATTTCAAATTCAAATTTTATTTTCAAAGTATTAAACAAAATACTATTTTCTTTGCCCAGAAAGCAGATCGAAAAGTTCTCTTCTTGGTTGCCTATAGCAACAGAGACACACGATGTTATGACGCCTTGTTATTCTTTCAGTTTCCTTATGGCTGTTTTAAATTTGTTTCACTTTCTATGGCGAGGTAATTTGGAATTTTTTTAAACTTTCGCCGTATATATAAATCCTTATTGCAAACCAATTTATGACCCAATCTTTTCGAAATTCTGTCTGCTCCTCCTATTTCAAGGGTCAGAATTCCAAATATATAAAAGAAAATATATGTTTATTCAGAGAAGATACGTTTTTGTTTCCGATTTTGTAACTTAATTAATAATTAGCACTAATTAATGAGCATCTTTGAGGTCACCCCCAGGAACCATTAAGCTTGATACTTAGTTCGTGAAAATCCGACCATTAGAACGAAAGTTATTCAGGGTGATTCCTTTTTTTTTAGGACTGTACACAAGTGCATAAAGGTATCAGTCGCGTAGAAACAATAAAGCTGTATATAATCACCTGATAATTAAGATTTTACATAGAATCTTTTAGTGCGTCTAATAATTTGGCCAGGGACAGGATATATCAAGAGCAAAGTCATCACGCACTCATCACTCAAACTTCCGATGTAGTTTTAAAAATAAATATAGCTATAGTGCTCACAGTTATTTAATTTTACTAACACCACTTGCCAATACCATCAAGCCTGATAAAGGAAACCAAGCTGTATGGGGGCAGAGGGAAACGTTTTTTGCTTTCAAGTGGCACCATCTATGACCAAGAATACAATTTCAGCCCCACACACGTCAAAGCTCATTTTACAGGGAAGACATATAAATTAATCCACCGATCGTAATTTTGACTTGATCCAGAAAACGATTAAACTCAATTTACCTTAGCAACCTCAGAGGAAATAATTTGTTATGAAAACTTGGAGGATTTAGTGACCTCCAAAAATTTAACATGCACCAGTTATATGCAATCACAAATTTAACATGCACGCACGGGGATTCGTCAATCGTCGGAAGTCGAACTCACGATCTCACGAACACGAGTCTACAGACCAGATTTTCCGACGCCATTGTTATTGTACTTCCCTCCTGTTTTATAATGGAGAAGTAATCCTCGTCTTTTCTAGTTCTGCAATAACATACGAAACTGTCTGGGCCATACAAATACTTCTTTTCTCGCATCAAATACTTCTTTCCTTGTGGATAGGTCTTTAATTTGAGATGTTGTTTAACTCTTTTATTTCGCAAATTACTATTGATAAAATGAATGAGTAGGTGATGAAAAAAAACACCTTCTCCAATTTACAGCAAGATGGATGATCTTTAACATTAGGCTAATTATTAGGCATCGGCTAAGGTGTAAACTTTAGCCCATGTTCTCCGCCATAGAAGTTACCAGATAGGACACGATGCTAAAAAACATTATATTGCTATTTGTAGTGAGAATCGTTGGTGGAAGTCAGTTTTTTCCTGCAAGAAAATGCATCAATTTAGGTCCAAAAACCTCAGAGTGAAAGTGTTTTAGAAAATAGGATGCTTGTCATTAATGGAAACACAGGACTATCCTTAGTAAAACTGTATATACTAAAAAAAAGCAGTTTCAGTCTGTTACAAAATTGAAAACTGGGATGATATTAATTTTTTTTTCTGGAAGGCATAGAAAATGATGCGCAACATCGTGTATTTCCGGCCATGCTTGAAGACGATCGATATATTGGCTATTAAAAGCAGTGTTTTTTTTTTTGTTTTTTTTACTAACCCGATTTTTTTCCTGTGAAGGTAAGGCAGGCGCTGTTTACTCATCAGAAATTGGTGTTTGGTTATAAACTCTTTTAATACTGTTACTGTTGTTTGGTTCCCGTTGAATCTCTTCGCGCCCAGATATGGCTCAAAATCAAGGTGGCTTTTTTCATGAGATATACTTCCCTAGTATTTAGTGACCCTTCAAGACTCATTAACTAATAAATATTATCAAAATGCTTAGACTTTAAACCTGTTATTTTATATTACTATTCAGACCATTATGTGGTTGCTCTTAGCAAATATAATTGCGAATAACATAATCTTTTACAGTATTTTTTTTAATAAAATAGTTTATAGACTTACTTCGATAGTCTCAGAAGCATCCCTAGAAACTTCGTAGAATACGTCACTAAAACAATTTGAGAAAATAATACATATTTATTTCTTTGTTTAACGTATCTTTAAATGGAAAATTTCCTTATGACTCTATTAACATCTATGTGTGTAAGCTACATCATGACTCGGTAAATTCTGTTTCTAGAAAGCTCTATCGCTACATGATATAGAGGTTTTGCGAAGATGCTATTTTCTAAAAATGCGATGAGTTACAACAGTTATTTATGACTTTTAAGTCGTGTTTAGCCTATTTTTAGAAAGTTTTTTCTTTGCCAACTCTGTGAAACATAAGTCAAATTAATCTCAAGACCTTAATACACTTATGGGAGGAGATAAATCAAAGGAAATTTATTAATCCAAAGTTTACGATCGGAATGAGATCGAATTCGATCGATATCGATAACTTTAACAATGTCGATTTGTGCAGCTGTGATAGCTGCAAAAGATTTGGATACAATGAACTATCATATACACTATTAGCCATTAAAATTGCCATTTCAGGAAGGCGACACACCACGAACGTAAAATTTGCAGGAAGGATAAAGCATGTTGTGGTATGCAAATGATTAGCTTATCAAGCGCATTCATGTAAAGCAGATAGTGGTAGCGACACCTACAATGTGTATAAAAGAAAAGATTTGACAGAAAGTTTCGCATACAGAAAATAAATTTGAGCATTGTTCTTTTGTAAAAAAGTCTTTGTTATGCCTCGTGAAAGAAGGAGAAATGCCTAACAGCACGTGTCTGAGTTTGATCGAGGTGGAATTGTGGCCTACCGGAATTTTGGTTTATTGCACCGAAGCACAGCTGCTCGCGTTGATCGAGATCGCATGACTGTTAGCAGAATATGGAATCTATGGGTCATATGGAATGCTGTGCAGAGTATCAGGGCTCCTCCCCATCACTAACAGTCGAAAAGACGGACATGTTACCCGCATGGCCTTAAGGGATCGTACAGTTGCGTCACGAACCCTGAGTCAACAAATGGTATCAGTTGCAAGACAACAAGTGTTTGCACGAACAGTGCGACGACGTTTGCTGCAGCATGGACAGTCAACTTGACGACCATAGCTTCGGCTTCGGCTACCTTCGAAGCTGCATAACATGCAGGAGCACCTCCAATGGTATGATCAACCATGAACTCGAACGCAGAAATAACATAACGTCATATTTTCAGACGAATCCAGGTTCAGTATACAGAATTATGATGGCCGCATCCGTGTTTGGCCCATTGGCAGCTTACATTCGACATCGTCATACTGGCCCATCACCTGAACTATTGGTATGGGATGCCAGTGGGTATACGTCTAGATCACCCCTTGTTCGCAATGTTTGCACTTTGAACAGCAGCCGTTACATTTCTGATTTTTTAAGGCCAGTTTCTCTGCCTTATCTTAGAGGTCTCCATAATACTACGTTTCAGCAGGGTAATGCACGATCGCATGTTGCCTGCACTGTCCTGACCTTCCTTGACACAGAGCATGTTCACCTGTTGCCCTGGCCAGCATGTTCTCCTGATCCTTCACCAATTCAAAACGTCTGGTCAATGGTTGCCGAACGACTGGCACGACACCACTCGTCAGTCACTACTGTCGATGAATTGTGGCATAATGTTGATGCGTCTATGCTATCTAGTCTCTGTTCGACTCGATGCCAAGGAGAATAACTGCTGTTATTGCTGCCAGGGGAGGCAGCTCTGAATACTGATTACTCAGGATACAAAGATCCTGAAAATTTAATGACTTGTTTTTCCAACTATAATGTATGTGCCCAATAAATACCATTCTATTATTTGCATTAATTCGTGGTGCAGCAATTTTAATGGCCAGTAGTGTACTTTTTTTGTTGTTATATTATTGCTTCAAATTTCATTTTAGAAAATAATTTTAATTAAATTAAAATTATAATTTGATTGCAGACATAAGAACATGAAAATATTGCAGTTTAGTTCTTATGTTCACAACTCTTTATACATATAGTATTAAATGAGTAACAATCTAATGTAACTTGAATTTTGATATAATAATAAATAAAACAAAAATTATCAATTTTCCATTCATTCAAGCAATCAATAGCCAGAAAATGGCAGAAACTTATAATTTTCAGAAATTTTTGCACGCCCTTGCATATTTACAGAGGTCCATCTTTTTAAATACATTGCACGAAAATTAAAAATAATATTTTTTTCATGTGGACATTTTTTTGTTGAAAAATTAATTTGCGAATTAAAAACTTACAAGCACGCTGGTCTACAGTTTTGGATCTGACATTCAGAAATTTCTTTCGCTTTTTCTGGTGCAATCGTCTCTGAAATAAACAAAGAATATTACCATTTTAATGATGCCCATCAATTACTTTATAATTTTATCAAAAAAAAATTTTATCAGTATCTTGCAAGAAACTTGCAAGAACTGCAATAACAATAAAATTATTGGCATCTAATTTTAAATTCTACAAATAATCGTGGTTTATGAGCTAAATATTCACGAATTTCTTAAAATACATTTCGATTTAATGTTAACAACTAACGTATCATCGTATATATTAACTACACTACTAACGTATCAATTGCATCGAAGTTTTGGACTCCAGAAACTTTTTTGAAAATTTATTCGATTGATTATTGCAGTAGTTGTTCTATATGACGATCACTGACGTTGCTGCGAAGTCTGCACTAATGTAAAGAAGGTTTCCGGTCGTAATTAAAGATGCCAAGCATGCTTTCGATTTCTACCAAAACGACGACAATCAGTGCTTTGATAGCCGCGATGGCTGAGGGGATAGGGGCTTCGCCTTCCATTGAGGTGAACAGGGCTCGAAATAAAATTAAAAAAATTAAATAAAATCAGTGCTTTTCGAACCTCCAATGCGTTTGCAGGCTCACACCAATTAGAAAAAAGTCACACTGATAGTGATATGATAAACGTGGAGGTCTTGCTGGGATTCACGCGTTCCTTGAGAATATTACACCAAAGTGATTACGTACACGGAGAATATAAAGTGCAAGGACGTCCTCACGCATGAATCACATACTTCGCTGCGTTGAGGTTGATCCACTTAGTAACAATTCAAGGACCTGTTGCAGATAAACAAGGTACATTGATGCATTCCGGCAGCCTCGTAAGCATTCAAACGCTTAATTCAGATAGGAAACAGATAACCTCCACCTTGCGTCTCCTCTTGTTTGCGTTTTTCGTGATTTTACCCCTTTTAATGATCCTCTGTTATAATGTAAGTTTTCATACTATTGATGCCTTTTGTACCCATTTATGGAAGATTCTATTTATGTTTCTAGCACTTCATTCTAACTTCTGTTGCATGTTTATGCTCGTTTTGGGTATTTTCTCCAATGGAAATTATTTAAAAATATCTCTCACAGTGTATTCGCTCCTAAAGAGTGTGTCTATTCATCACACAAGAAACTAANGGAGCTGCCAAGAATGCTGCTATCGAAATGGCAAATTAGCTTGAAACATTAAAATATTAGTTTCAAAAACAGGATATTTAAAGATAAACTTAGTCAAATTGTATAAAAAATGTGTCAAAACAGTTAGGTACATATAAAAAACTAGTGGGATGTTTATATGTATATATATATATATATATATAGTCTCTCGTGTACGAATGAATGTGTGGTTTTCTTTTCTCTCTAAGATTTTCACATATTTCTAGATGATTTCTTCTCTTTAGAAGTAAAGTCAGATCGCGGACTTTTATCCTTTAGATTTTTTCTAGAAAAAAGCTTAAGAGATTAAACAAAATATAAAAGATTTTTCGATACTTTTCTGGCAATTGCAATAGGGCTTTTGCTACTCATCACATTGTAAAAGACTTAATTCTGATAATCTGTGGTTTAGTAATTTGGTAAATAAAACATACTCACTCTTACGGTTTCGCCCTTTTTCGTTCTGCTGCACTCCACGGGCAGTCATAGTAATGTTTTTATAGCATTCCTGAATGCACTCCTAAAATTTTATTTAAAAAGAATGGAGAATAAAGAAAGTAAGTAAAAATCCTGTAAGTAACATAGAGAATAACTCATTTTTTTCTGATTTCGTTTCATTTTGTCACCCACCCTCACACAACCATCCCTTTTTTCTCAAATCCCTTCTATATAATCTTCTAAAAATTCAAGCGAATTATTTTGTTGATCTTAACTACTTTCAAAGTTTTTTCTTTTAAATATTATTGATTGCACTTCTAAATACAAGAGTTCTGTGAAAAAATGTGACTATTTTTGTTTTGAATTCCCACTGAACAGTAATTTTTTAAATGTTCAACTGCTCAAGATTTATCGCTGCCTTAAGCAGACGGAATATATAGCATATAGCAGCAGGTGAAATATATAGCAGAATATGCAAGCAGGCGGAAAATGTATTAGGGTGTCCCATTTTGACGTTTTAGACTAATTTTCGAATTTCAAAGTACCTAAACCCTCATAAGGTTTGTTTTACTTTTCTGAGTTAGGAACAAAAATAATTTTCACTTAAACAATTTTAAAATATCCAACTCTCACTTTAAATGTTTAACTTTTTAAACTTTTTGACAGTACATTCACGACAGACATCCTTATAAGATAAGACATCATTAATTTGAAACTCTTGGCGCCATAAAAATTTGGTTTTTAGATTCTCAATTCGGAATAAACGAAATCATGGTATTCCTTTATTTTCAAGCATCCCTTACTTCATTAGAGATTGTTTGATGAACTGGAAATTAGTGTTTTTTTCTTCTTCAAACATTTATGGTCGGCTTATTCTATTTCTTCACTGTAGTCTGAAATTAAGCTAAATACCTGTCGAAAGTTTTTTTTCTTTTTAACCTGTGCAAAATTAAACAAATTTTTTTAATTTTCATTAGATTTCAATATTATCTATTTAATTGCCAGCTTTAATTATAAATCTTAAGGTATTACAAAGTAATCTAATTTAGTATCAATGTTTGTTTTTTTTTAACCTTTTTTCTTAATTGGGCCTTTATTCTAATAAACCCGCCTCCTCCACTCCTGGCCACTTACTCTTTCCCATGCCATAATTAGCATTTTTTTTCTTTCGAAAGTGTGGTATGAGAATTTGCAAATCTTTAAAATCTTAACCTTTAAAAACGAAAACAGTCTTTGGTTAAAAAAAGTTCCCATCATTACAAAGAATTAAATGATGTTTTTATGAACAGCTTGAAAGTTATATATTATCATCACCTTTGATTTGACGAAGAGTTTTATAGTTAACTCTCATTACAATTCTTAAGAAATGTAATTATCTATTTCTGAGTTATTCTTTTACAGACTGATGTTTTTCTGACTTTTTTCAAAATTTTGAACACTATCAGTTGAAATAGAAAATAATATTATCAAGAGATAATTCAAAGCTGAAATAAACAAGCATCTAAAATGGGTGTCAACACTCAAAGTTAACTCATTTATTTCATTCACTAATTTTTTTTAAAAATATTTTTGGATTTAAAAATATTTTTAATTTAATAAAAATATTTTTAACTTCTAATTTTTTATAAAAATATTTTTAATTTATGTTTTGAAATGTGATTAGTTATATAAAACTCAAAACAATAATGAATTGTGATAAGAGTGAAAACTAATTCTAATCTTGAGGAAAAAAATCTTTCAAGATCACCCAACCTGTTCCCTATTCTCAACTTAAACATAACATCCGTGAAAGGACTCAATGACACACTTTCTGAGATTCGTTATGATTCAAGAAAGCTTATTATTTGCTATCGGTTATCCAATCATAATACTAAAAATATATTATTAGTGAAAAGGGAGTAAGCAAAAATACAGTCTTACCCTTTTATTTGTAGGTCCATAACCTCCTCTTGCTTTCCACTTTTCTAAATAATCAATGCAATTTGTGTCGTATGGATAAGGAAGCAAATTCTTCTCAATCTAAATATATATAAGTTATTCTTAACGGTACAGTATAAAAATGTATAACAAATATGAACTTTGTGATGAAAGCATATTTTTACCATTGTCAGTACATGGTATAAACATGATTTTAAGATATTGGGGCATTTTATAATGTGGAAGAGGAAAGTTTAAAGAAGTATGTCAAATTTGTGATCTAGACCAGGGGTTTCCAACTTACATGAGGCCGGGGGCCGCAATTAAAAGCACCTGTCAAATGGCGGGCCCCAACTTTATCAAAATTTTATATAGGACTCTTTTATGTTTGAAGGAACATTAAATATTGCTGTCAGATTTTTATCACAGTTTTTTTAATACTAAAAAACAAAATAACATGCATTAAAAATAATGCTTGTTACGTATCATTTTGAATCTTCTCTTCAACTTGTTACGAAATCTGGCAATCTTGTTACGAAAATATTTTAAATCATTCTTGAAAAATTTCCCGTTCATGTAAGTTCATTTGAATCCGCTACTCGTTTTATAGATTTCGTTTCATGTTTTATTCGGTTTTCTCTTTATATTTTATTTTACATTTTAATTCATAACAGCGTTTTCTGCTGTTATGGATTAAAATTTACGCTACTTTGTGCGAAACAAAAAAAATTTAATGATAAACAAACGAAAAAAATAATATTTCAAACGTCACTTCAGCAACGATAAAATATCATTTTTGAATGATTTTCCTTTCACAATTTCAGGACCGCAGTACAGAAGATTTTGGATTTATGAGAGAAATATATACATACAAACTCTTCCTTGAATCAATATAGACAGTATTTGTAATTCTATATTGCAATTGAAAGCTGAGGTTGAAAAGCATATTTCAGCTAGTCCAGCATCGGAACAAAAGTAAATAAATAAATAAAGATTAAAAAAATTTTGCGGTTCTTTGAAGGAATATATTTTTGAAACTGTATAAGAATAACTCCTCACACAATCAATTTAAAATTCAATATGACTATAAAGTTTATCCTGTTTGTTTGTGGTGCAAGGAGTGACATATTGTTTATGCTTGCTTGAAAAATAATGAAAGGTAATTATATCAAACTCTTATTTATGCATTTAAGATAATGAAATATTTTTAATTACTTTTTTCAAGTGAAACGAGTAATGTTTTCCTATCTCCATTGAAAATCCTTGTTCATAGGGATCTACTATTTGTCGAGAATGGTGGAAGGATATCTGTGCTTTAGATTGATAGATAAATGGAGGATATCCTCTTGGATCAAGATCCAAAGAAAAGACAAAACCTGAAAATTTATAAATGTTTATTTTAACAACAATTAAAAATAGCAGTTAACAAATTCGTATGCTACAATCAACTACCGAATCAGGTCTTTTAGGTTAAGTAATACTATGTATAATTTTTTTGTTGTTGCAATTTCGCTTCGATGGTAGCTGTGAGAGAGGCCTTTCTGGCTCTTCAAACTTCTGCTTCAAATATGGGCCTTACCATCAATGAAGATTAAACTAAATTTATGGAAACTCCATCCGCAACTGTAAATCATGATCCTTTATTCATAAATGGTTACACCTTTGAAAAGGTTAATGAATTCAAATACCTTGGAACAATGATCAATGACTAAAACAGCATAAAAACAGAAGTAGACAACAGAATTAAAATGGCAACCAAGTGTTTCTCTGGACTAAGAAAGCAATTAAGATCAAGCCTAATCAGTCGAAAGACTAAAATTAAAATTTATAAGACTCTTATTCTGCCAGTATTGCTCTATGCAAATGAAACATGGTCACAGAATGCAGACACTCAGCGTACTCTTGGTGTTTTTGAAAGGAAAATCCTTAGAAATATTTTTGGCCCAGTACAGGAAAGAGGCTGTTGGCGAATCAGATACAACTTTGAATTATATAGACTCTACGGACAGCCACAGATAGTGCAGGCCATCCGAAGCAATAGATTAAGATGGCTTGGCCATATCTGGAGAGGTCCAGAAAATAATGCAGTCCGAATCGCCACCTTTAAAAATCCTTCGGGATCTCGGGCTAAATGAGGACCTCCAACTAGATGACTAGATGACACTGCTAAAATCTAAATGCATTAAAGATAAACAACTGGAAAACAGTCCCCATGGACAGGAAGCGCTGGAGGCTACGTGTGGTGGAAGCAGCCAAGGCATGTAAGGGGGTGTCGAAGAAGGTGCTGAAGAAGAAGAAGAAGGATATGATATTTTGTCAATATGTTAATTGTATGAAATGGATATGACAAATAACACTGGGGGACAATTTTGTTTTTGCTGTTACATGAGATTTTTTTAAAATAGATCTAAGATACTTTAATCACTGATTTCAAATTTTAATTGCTTTCTCTCACCAAGCTAGAAATTTATTAAAATGTCATTTTTAGTTTCCTTAAAATGTCATTTTTAATTTTTTTGTTGAAATGTACATGTTTAAAAACTTTATCTATAGCAGAGGGTAGCATAAATGTTGCGACAAACTACTAGGCTAGTTAGAGCAAATCAACATAATTAAAATTGCATAGGAACCAATGTATGGGAATCGCATAGGATGCCCAGTAAATAGTCATGTGTGGCTTCCTTAGTATTAGCTGTTTTCTGGTCATAGGTTTCCCGTGATGATGTGCCCTAATTCCCCTAAAAGCTTGTCACAACATTAACGTGACCTCCTGTTTGATATAAAGTTTTTGGACTTGTACATCTCTGCAAAAAAAAAGACCAAAAATGTCATTAACAAATTTGTAGTTTTATGATCAAAACTAGTTTCAGATTTGCAATTATATCTAAATTAAGCAAGAACAAGCATCTGTGTAAATGCAACAAAAAATTAGTTCCTCAGTGTAATCGACTGTACAAAAAAATGGTAATGACTATGTGACATCGAGTCACAAGCTTAAATCCGGATCGTACTCATGTATCGTCCCTAATAGCTTTTTCGTAATTTGTTCAGTTCCCCTCGTGCATTTCTCTCTCCCTCCGGTTCTCAGAAAACACCTGTTTTCCAGGTGGTGTCGCTATCCTTTGAAGTACACGTCCTGATCGTAATCATATATCGTCCCTAATAGCTTTTTTGTAATTTGTTCAGTTCCCCTCGTACATTTCTCTCTCCTTCCGATTCTCAGAAAACACCTATTTCCCAGGTGGTGTCGCTATTTTGGAAGTACACGTCCTGATCGTAATCATATATCGTCCCTAATAACTTTTTTGTAATTTGATCAGTTCCCCTCGTACATTTCTCTCTCCCTCCGATTCTCAGAAAACACCTGTTTCCCAGGTGGTGTCGTTATCCTTTGAAGTACTCGTGAAGATGCTATTCGAGAAGATGCTTTCGAGACCATGACGTTTAGTTATTTTAGAAAACCCTTCGATTTTAATTTCAATGAGTGTGAGAACACTACAACTTTCACTGATAATTTCAGGTTTACTATAAATATCCCGGAGTTCCAGCCCTCGCTGCATTCGAGTTTAACATCTTCATCAACTTGCGGTCTCCCAAGAGTGGAGTAATTTTTTATTTTTTATTTCCTCTTGGAGGTTGGATTTTTTTGAAAGGCGTCACAGGCTGCGCCATTGTGTTGGCATCTTTCAAAGTTGTAATTTTTGCTCACCTTTATACAACTACTCAATAGACTCAATATGATACGTTTTTACTGAATTTAACTGCATTTGAAGAATGGCATCACCTTTTTATTTCTCTGATTAAAGAGGATTTTAAATACTTCCAATATCCAAATCCAATACCGCAAAAATGGATGTTGGTTTTTTTCCGATATCGGAGATTTCAGTGATCGTCCATTAGCGAATATGGCTGTTGGAGACAGCGATCCCAGAGTTTGAGTCTGATTTGTAAGTCCTTGCTGATAGACCTTTTGCCTCTTCAAGTTCATCAAAATAATCTATCTTGTTTGTTTGAAAAATCATTAATTGTTAATTTTAGTTTTTAGAACCCAGCATTACCGGCATGGACTACATTGTTGCTTTTTAAGGTGTATCAGGGCATGAAAATTCATTTCTAAAGTAATAGCCAAACTAAAAAAATTTCACGCAATCATTTTTCCTAAATATAGTTTTAATGATAAAGCGTTCGGAAAAGGGAACACGTGTCGCCTTCTAAATACTCTTTTGCCGCAATATTTTTTTGAATATTGCTGTCCTCCCTGAAAAGATTATAGAAATAAAGAAGCAAATAAAAATAGAGCTTCCTGATTTCCTAAATAAATTTCCAATTATAGCCTTCAGCTGTTTGAATTCGTTTCCAAACAGGCAGAGTTCATATAAGCGTGGAAGTGATTATTGACCAAGTATGTCCTCTTGGAGTTAATACAGTACCTCGTCATCCTTTGGGGCAGATATTTCCCCTTAAGCAACGTCAGCAACAGAACAGATACTAAAATACCTTATGATATTTTCAAGCGAAGCAACAAACTCGCTCGGGGTCGGGATCAATTTATAGAAATTCTGAGCAAATGATCAATTGACGCAATCTTTAAAGAGTTTTTGTAAACTGTTTTTAGTCTATTGTGATAGCTAAAGCCTCTTTCACAGGAAGATATGATCAAATAGCGTAGAAATATTGTAATCTGAAGCATATTTAGAATTTTCACTGAACATTCTACACTGTTTAACTTATCCAGCATCTGAATGTTTAAAAAGTAAACATGAACTTTGCTCATTCTCCCAATTCATCGCATTTGCTTTTTCATTAAAGAAATTTAGGTTTAAATACTTGGAGAGCTTATTTATCTCCTCTATCCCAAATTCAAGAATTGTATTTGAGTTTTTCTCTTATTTTGAAGGCCAATTCAAGGTGTCAAAACGTACAGAGATGTTTACATAGATTGCAATTTTTATGCGATGCACATGTTTGAATACATATTAATAAAAATATTTTTCTCCCCCTTAAAGTGCAAGTCTTAAAAGTCATGAGCAATTCGCTTCTTTATTCATGACTTAAAATATTGAATTAAAAGTTTATATCTATCGTTGATAAACAAGCTGAGTGACTGACTGTTGCGCGTGAGAAATTCAGTTAGAATTGTCAGAACAAAGAAGCTGGTTAGAAAACATATCTTTGTTTCTGAAAACGCTTTACTCAAAAGTTGTATTTATTATAAACCGTACTCAGAGTTCCAGAAAACTGATGTCATCTAATATGTTTTTCCATTTAACTCTTGAATTACTTACTAGCTCCGCCATATGCAGTTTCTGAGCTGTTGTCTGGCTTTCCAATCATGGAATTGAAAGTAAAACAGGAACTGACAATTGGAGACTCGGTTTTTGGGATAAACATTGAACGTGTAAAGCAGTTCCTAAAGAGTAATATAATTAATTAATGCTTGCAAAAATTTAATTTTTCTCATTCAGCTTTCAATTATTATTCTTATGACTTTAGTAATAAAGTAACTTAAGTGTAAAGACTAGGTAAATAAACACTAATATACTAAAACTTTATTTTTTTAAAAAAGGAAAGTATTCTCTGAACAGCCGTTGTGGGCCAAGGGGTATAATGATAAAAAAATATATCTTAATAAAGAAATAATAAAAATAATCTTAATAATAGAAATATAGCCTAATGAAAAAATGTATAATGATAAAAAATTGTATCTTATTACAAATTTCAAAGGGACATTTGTCATTTCAGAAATTAAGTTTAAAGCGAAGTTTCTAACACGGTCGTTAGTTCATTCGCAATTATGATTTATTATTTTTGTTTTTATTTTTTTATCGCATTAGAAGTTAATTGTTTTAATCAATGATCTTAGTTCCGTAATCTTTCCGTAACTGAGTGAAAACAATAACACGATTCAAAACCAGTACGGCATTTTGTTAACTTTCGCTTTATTCCCGTTTTTATATTCTGTTTTAGAGACGATCTGTACACACGATTTAATTTCTTGGATTTATTCATTAATAATTTCTAGTTTCGATGCATTTAAATTTGCACGTAAATTTGCAATTCATAAGATTTTTCTGTAATCTATAAATTTTAAATGCCTCTAAAACATTCGAAATTCTAAGGAGCTATAAATTCCATAGAATATAACTATTATCCTGACGCAAATAAAGCTCATGATTTCAATGTTTTGAGTATTATTTTTAGATTTTATGTCTTCAATAAGATATAAATGGATTCATAAATTGAATCGTAAACAGTACAACTAGTGTAATAATTTTTTCTGCTTTTAGCTTAGACGCAAAAACCCTTGTTTCTATACTGATGCCGCTATTTCCTCGTGTAGGTTTATAAAAACATCATTTGATGCTTATTTTCGCTGCTAGATGGCACTAGATGAGTCAGGAAATTTTTTTTCTCATGCTTTTTTTTTCCTTCCTCCCGCGTATTTGTGAATTTGCATGCTTTTTGTTTTTCGTTCGCGATGTAAGCATTTATTAAAGATATAAATTTGCCGAGTGTCAGCGGCGTTATATGTGGGAATAACAAACGAAAATATTTTGATTATGAAGACAGTGATTCAGATTCGAAGTATTCCATAAATCTGGGCTTTTCTTTTATTTTTCTGTTTTATTACAAAATTTCTGTAACATTTTTCGAGACAAAATATTTAAAAATAATATTCGTCTGAAGATTAAAATATTGTATTAATATTTTTTATTTATAAAAACTTCCCGCTGAAATAAACAGGCGCCGTAATACAAGTTTTTGGAAACGTAAAAGCTATCACAATTCTTGTATTATTTTAAAACAACTGATGGAGATGTGAATTGTAACATATGCAGTTAAAGAAAAAATTTAAAAAATTGCCGGAAAGTATAAAAACTTTGCCGTTGCGGAGGGTTAACTAACTACAGTTTGTTGGAAATACTCGATTTAAAATTTCTAAGCACAAAACGGTTTCTTTACCATTATTTTATTTTTATTTCTATCCGTTTTCAAAGAAGTCTCGTCTTTTATCGTCACCGGTTATCAACGTGTTGTTCATGTGAAGAGAGTTTTGTGCATGTGAAACATGTTGAGTGCATTTTAACATTTTTAAGAAGCATTATTTTCTTTGTAAGTAGAATAGGCGTCTCAATTCTACCAGATTTCCCCACTTTTCACAATTTTTCCCTCTCCGTTGCCGTGTTTTCCCCAAATCTTGCTTTTTTCCCCAGAAACTATGGTAAAAAGGAGGAGATAAGTATGGAGAGTAAGGAAATTGCATAATCTTGAGACACCTATTCTATTAAGAAAAAATATTGAATTTTATCAATCTTGTAGGTTTTTAATGTTATCCCTTCAGGTTTTAAGGAGTATTTTATCCTAAAAAGGATAATCTTTGCAGTTAATGTTTGATGCAATAGTAAACTGCAGTCTAATATTTAAAAAATGATTTTGGTTATAAAAAAACAGAAATTTGTGAACCTGCATCTTTCTTCCTCAAAAAAATCTATAAATGGTAATTCCAAATTACAGGTGTAGAAAAAATGGCTTTTTTCTTGGAGAAACGGGGTGAAGTTTTTAAAACCCATGGAATACAGCTCTTCATATACTGACTTTGAAGGATACTTGAAAAGAAAGAAAGAAAAGATTAGAACACTGAATAATTGGGAACGTTGAAAATATTTCAGGTGAATATCTATAAGTAGTTCGTCGGCCACTTTTTAAGCTCTATGTTTCAGACTCATGGAAATATATCATAGAATTAGGAGCATCAAGAAATATTTTAAAAGTAAACCCCTGAGAAAGGGTGCCTGCCTATAATTGCTGGTATAAGAACACGTTTTATTGTTTTCGTCAAATTCTTAATTTGGACCGGCAGCAACAATACTTGTTTTATGTGGGTGTTCTCTAATAATTTTGTACTTAGTCGCAAACTTGCTAAGTTCCAATTTTAATTCAGTACAAATTATATATTCTCCTGATTCGGATTTCGTAATATCAGTATATGAGGTTTTTCGTAAAAATGCAATTCTTCTAGCTTCACACAGAGGAACAGGGCTATTTCGATCAGTTTTGCATAATGTACGAGTGCTGGATAATCTCGATGATTTGGGGTATGGGGGGTCATTGCAATTTCGGCAAATATAGGTCACTAATGCATGAGTTTAGATGTTCGGAGAGACGGCGTACACTGTTTCCGCACCTAAATGATTGTTTACAGTATTTGTCAAGGTGCCCAAAACCCAAACAATTATTGTATACTGTCCTGAAAAGTTTTTTGATTCATAATATTCGTTCCAAGGGAGAGTTTTCACCGGGATGACTGTCCTAGGGATGCTAAATAAGATTGCTGAGGTTGGTTTTCCCCGATTCAATAACCGGCGGATTTCGATAGCCCGAACTCAATTTTCAATGTTGAATTCGTTGCTAATGCCCAGTACTGCTGCTTCGATAAGAAAATTTCTGAGAATAAACTTGGATGAAATTAGTTTCAGAAGAAATTTTGCTGATACTGGAACATCTAATATTTCCTTGATGTCTAAAAGGTACTATGCTGTTTCCAGGTCCTTACAATGGGTTAATAAGGCTCCATTGTTTGGAAGCGTATAATTGTTATTCTTTTGGTCACTGCAGAAACTATTAAATCTGCTTTGAGCCGCACTGGAGAGGTCTGTGGAAGAGTATAAGGTTTTTCTTTGGGTTCAATGATGAACCAAAACTCTGTTGAGCCATTATTTTCGATATGAGCAAAAATATTTTCTATTGGCTCATTGGAGGTCTGTGGGGAATCTAAGAGGTTGGACATTCTGGAAGGGGATCCCTCAAAAAGTAAAAAAGTCAAGAAAGCTTATCTGTATCTTGGTAATCAAAAAAGGAGAGAATCGCTATCAATCTAGTAACAAGTAATCCGTGGGTGCCTACTGATATAAAATAAAGTTGTTATCTTGCTTAAAGTCAACACTCCGACTAGAAGAATTGTTCCAATAAAATAAAATTACATTGGCAGATTATCCTAAAGGCGTCTCCAGTAAAAAAAATGTCGTCTCAATCTTCAAAATTAATAAATCCAAAACTTCAAAATTTAAGAAAAAAAATAAAAAATTAAAACTTCTTTGAGGGATGACGTTTTCAGTCAAGATTCAGATGATTGTCAGTGTCAATGCCCGCCATCAATTCTAGAATACTAAACATGACAGAATGCCTAACTGTCTCTTAATCCGCCATCATTGATAGTTCTTTGATTTATGGTAATAGCGAACACATTGTAGCTATTATTAATAATAAATTTTCCTTAGTCTTAAAAAATTTCATCAAGCATTTTCTATCTTAAACTATAAAAAATTTTCATGTAAAAAATTCCAGATTTTGCTTGGAGTTTTCTTGGAAAAAATAAAGGAAAAAAAATTTCTGTTGATTTTTCCTGATGAAATCTACTGTTGTCTGGTTCATTTTAAGAGTTTTAAGAGCTTTTGAGCGTAAAAAAGTTTTGCTTCAATATTTTTTTAAAAATTAAATTTAGCATTTGACAACGAAGAAAAAAAATTTAATTTTTTGAGACTTATACCCTTTTTATAGCTCAAAACTTGAGCTTAAGTCTCTCCTCTAAGAATCTCTGCTGAGCTTTACATATCGATGAAAAAAAGCACTTAGATGGCTAAATGATTTCAAACCTGTTTAGAGGATGTTTCACTTAACCTCAATGACAAGTTAATCGCCATTCTTTATCGCCAAATTTAGAAATGATAGAAAGTATTTTAAGTTATTCACAAATAGAAAAATTAATTTATTGAAATTTAAACCAATTAAAAATTTTCAGTTGAATTATTCTGACACTTAATCCGTTTCTTGTTTTGTAGCTTAGTTTGTGCCTAACTTTACATGTATTTTTCTACATGTAAAACGGGTTTGAGCGTTGCTGTTCATATTATTTTCAGAAATTTCAATGTTTTTATTGCGTTGCTCTCAACCGTAGACAAAAAATAAATAAAAAATTTCGTTTAAAGTGGCAATTGATATTTTCCTATTGTAATTCCTTTTATTATACTGCAAAGTTTAGTTCCCCCTCATAGAAAATAATATCAATTTCGATGACATGGAAAGTTTAACATGAAAAGTTAAGCAGAATATACATACTTCCTGGAGTTTCTTTCTTTTTGGCTCTTCCTCTTGACAATTAAGTTCGGCCGAGAGTTTTTTTAAGAGGATGCTATGCCATGGGAGAAAGTTTGAAGGCAAGTCCTGCATCACCTCGATTTTTATTTTAAAATTCAGAGAAAGTTGAGTTCGGGGAAAAATCTATAGCAAACCAATTTCTAAAAGCTGACTGAAATGCTTTTAAAATAAATATGAATATTTGAACAAATTATTGCAGAATTGCTTTTCCTCTTCCTAATCCTGAATAATGCTGACATGATTTGTTTATTACATTTTAATATTTTAAAATCTATTTTTTCAGCATTCAAAACTACAAGGTTTAATATTATTTACATGAACTCATTGTTGCTATACTTTAAATTTTAATTTACTTCTGTAGGTGTAAAGGATTTTGCAGCGAAAGTTTTTTTTTCTCCACTGTATATCATTCATTTGAGTATTTCTCTTCTAAGTTGCCACGTGTATATTACGGTATATATTACGTATATTACGTGTATATTACGGTATACGTGTATATTGCTGCTATAATATTTACGGAAACTGGATTTCAAGTTTATTTTGAAATAAAGCAAAATTGGAATAAAATTAAAAGGAATGGTATTTATGTTTCCAAAAAAAATATATCATGTATCTTTTGAAACGGAAGTTTTGATACTTACAGCACGATTGTCTGTCAGTTCACCATCTCTGCAATATCTTCGAGAAAAACATTCACATAAATTCCGGTATTCCTTAACTTCAGACAATAAATGACATCTTTCAATAAATCTCGCATCGTCACAAATGGATGATGAGTTAAATCTGAAAATCAAACAAATATAATTTATTATAATTTTATCTTTTGATCTCAGGAAAGTGAGGAATAATAGAAACTGGTATCTCTAAGCAATCGCCGTGCCTGTATAAAAACTCATTAAATATTATCTCCGAAAAACAGAATTTTTTTTTTAATTCGTTAGAGCGAAGGCTTTCAAGCTATTTAAGACAGTTAAACAGCAAAACGCATGGAATGTTAGTAACCAATAACCGGGCACGTTCTTAATTTGCAGTCTTTCTCAGAGAAACATTAATTGTGCACAATAAATACAGGAATGCGGGTCAGCATGAAATATCAAACAATGACTTTAAATTGTATGAATATTAATAACGAAGTGATGATATTTTTTTAAATTATTTTGTATTAATTTAAGTCAAAATAAGATAAATATATTATATTTAGCATTTTTATAATTTATGGTGACGAAATACCGGCATGAAACACCGGTGTATTTTTCTGCGTTTAATGGTTAAGTCTTCCAAACATGGCTCACTTCCAAACAATACTTTTTTCAAATTTGCATTCATTTGTAGTTATATAGATCTAAGAGTAACAGTTATTTATGATTGAAATTTCCTTAATTTACAAAATCATTTATTGATAAATTTGAATGAAAAAAAATTTCCTTTTTTTTTTGGATTCTATATTTAATACAAATATAATTCCGATAACCAAAAAAAAAAATTTCAGGAAAATTTGACTGTTTATAGTAATTAAAAAAAAGTAAAATGTAATTCAGCTTGTAATTAGAGCTCCAGAAACAATAAACATAAAAGGGATACCGGTTTTTGCATCAAAGAGCTAAGAAATGAATAAATAATAAAGTATAAAATATTAATAGAAAAAAGTCATGCACTAACTTGCAAAAATATTCACGATTAAAAACAAAAGACGAATAAACAGATTGATTTATTTAAAATATTGCAAAATTTTTGCTCAAATGCTATTTTCTTTTCAGCACGAACAAATTTTTGACGTTTATTACAGATTTCTGCCTATTTAATCGAACTTTGAGGGAATACTAGGATGGTTTTTATTAACTGAGGGAATAAAATTTCCTCGAATGTTTCACAGCACCCCCTAAAAAATTGACAGCATACATCATGGCATCCCTTTTATTATAAAACTAATAAGGTCAGTGTGCTTAAAGGCAACACGATTTCTTATAAGTTTGTAACATTTACGTCAAACTGATCTTTTATTTTTCAGCCAAAAATGGCTGAAGTATTAAGACATCAGCTATAAACAAATTTTTATTGCAGAAATTGAATTATCGTCAGCAACCTAAGCAAAGATGTTTTACTGTAGAATTTAAGGAATTTTTGTCGAATTTAAGGTGCACTCAAAGTACCTAAATGCGACAGTGCATTTTTGTAACGTTTTTATTCAACCTCTTTTGTGTCTGTAACAATAAAATCTTGCTATCAAAATTGCAAATACTCTCCGACTAGTAAGATTGCTCCATTTCGGTGACAATACAAGTTTAATTTGTTTCATCATAAATGCAATCATCATTTGTCGCCATTTAATCGCAAATTTAGTTTATCGTATATCAAATTTCCGAGCAATTTAAATCTAACTTGAGTACTTAAAATCCAACTAAAGTTCTGAACAGGATAGCTATGCAAGTTCCTGTCTATTTTTTTTTTTACTGTTACTTAAGGAATTCGTCACGATATTATCACCGAAAGGAATTTATCGCTATCTAAAATTACAACCACTTTAAAATTAGCTAGAACTCTACAATTTTAATTGCAACTTTATGTAGAATAACAAGTTACAATCATTTTCTAATCGTTAAAAAGAGAATTTATCGTCATTATATCGAAATATTGAGTTAATTGTCAATGAAAATTCCGAACATTTAAGTCTAGCTAGAGTACTTAAAATACAACTGAGAAGGTTTTGTCCTGGATGATTTTATAATTTCTAAGTGTACAATACCTGTATGTACAATTTATACACCTGTATCCATGCATATTCTATGTACATACAATATATTTATGTACGCAAGTAGGTACAATACATGTTGAAACGTACATATTACGTACACGTATATATGTACAGTGCGAAAGAAAGGATCCACCCTGGGAAAAGTCAATAACTTTTAAACTAATGATCGGATCTTCAATTTCTAGTTCTCAATTTTAATGGTTTGAGGGAGTGACCTCTATTATGCTTCTTAACAAGAGCAGACGATATATAAAGTTACGAAATCATATACAAAAACGTACTTTCTCTGAGTAAACATATCTTTCTTTTACGGATTCAGCTTTCTGAACCCCAAGATATTGGGGGTAGCCGCAGTCTGGGAAGTATGGTCCCCATAGTTTATTCAGGAGAGCGGTTCAAAGTTTGGACTCCCTTAGCGTAAGTTTTACTTTTTGTATTTCCCCCTATCTCGAAAACTTTTAAGCTCATTGAAAAATTTTGTACACAATTATAAAATTATTTTATCCAAAGGTAATTCCATACAAAATATCACTTTCAGTGAATATTTATATTTTTTTTAATAATAGGCGAAAAAAGTTTGAATTTTAAGATAATACGTTTTTTTACATCATTTTCAGGAATGTAATTTTAAAGTGCAAAATACAAAATTAGAACGAAATCGGTCAAATAGTTCCTGGGAAATCGAACTTTAAAAAGCTACATTTTATTCTTGTGGCAATGACATCAATAGATAAACAATCTTAACAAAGTTGTTCACTCATTCACAAGTTTATTAACATTATCAATGTTTTGTCTCATGGAAACATTTCAGTTCCTCTTCGTTGCAGTTAGGCGCGTGCGTTGGAGTGAGTATTTGACAGACCATGATGGTCTCATAAATTGAGTATTTAATCCATACAGCTGCAGTTGGCTTCTCATTAGCAAGCAAGACCTAATCAATAATGATCATTTAATATAGAAATCAGCAAACCATATGCTTTCTTCTAATTTACGATCTCGGGTTTTTGATTATGGCTTGGGCTCTTTTTTCAAAAACTGCTTTAATTTTTACTCAGAAAATATGGCTTCTATTCACTTACGCCACTTTGGGAAATTAGTGCCACAAAAGAAGACAACACCGAACATCAGCTGCCATTGAAAGAAATAAAAAGCCTGGAGCAATAATGTAGGTAGGTACTTTATTTACGTCGCACTACAGCAGCACAATGGGCTATTGGTGACGGTCTGGGAAACATCCCTGAGGATGATCCGAAAACTTGTCATCGCAATTTTTATCCCGAGGGGCCCTATTACCAGCTTCACGGAATCTAATTCCGATCGAAATGAAGCTCTCGTGACGTCATAAATCCATGAATGTCAGTTAGGCCGTACTACGAACTCTTGATTCCGCTCGGAGCTAAATTCCAGTGCGAAATAATTACGAATCCCTTTCCGGCAGGTTTAAGAGCAAGCGAAATCTAAATTTCGATAAGAGATTTTTTTTTTATTTTAGTGATCAAAATGGCGCTGTTTTCCGTCATACAGCTAGCTATTGCTGAAGAGAGTGATCGAAACACTATTAAGAGAAAGATCTATCGGCTTAAAAGATTTTGGGTATTCCAATATCCCGACAACAAAATTTAGAAATTAATTTAGATTGGAAATTAGTTTTTTTTT